AACAAGTACCATTGAATTTAAAGGAACTGTTAAGTCATTTTGCATATGAATTTATTGTGTCAAGTCATGGCTGATCAATAATTCTGCAGAATGCCAATAATCATTCATTCCTAGTTGCTATTGAATAAATATCCTGTCTCCTATTTGCTACTAAATATTGTTGATGCTTTTAAAACTGTAGGTATGTCTGGGCGAAGGAAAAATTAGATCACAATCATTTTTTTAAAAAGCAACATTTTTCATAGTTTGGGATTTGATGCTGTGCTTTAGACATTCTTGGGGATGATCTTATAGTTAGGGACATTCATGATATCTTAACTGTCCTATTATATGATGTGTTGAGCCATATAATTTTATAGGGTTAACAGGATACCTAGATATCTTCATCATGATGTTTTTGCAACTATGTGCTTAACAGTCTGGTTACATGGATCTCTTGTAATGTTAAAAATATCATAGAGCTTTCTCAGAGTCTTTTTTCTCCATGAGTGACATTATTTAGAAGACAACAGGGTCATACTTGCTGCTTCTGTCTTGTTGCTTGTCCCTTACTACTTTGGTCCTGCTGTAATCATGTCATGTATTAAAAAAAAAAATTCTAAAAAAAAAATCCAGCATGCCAAACTTGTAAGGGCAGTTCCCCATATTAAACATTTCTTTTCATATTTTTTTATGCAGGTTGGACTACTGGGGAATACAATAAAATAATATAATCATTATCAAAAATAAGTCTGAATAAAAGTATAAAGTACAGAGAACAGCAGTAATTCATACTAAAAAGAAGTTGCTAAGATTTTTCATTATGAGAATCATGACAGCATATATTTTTAAATTTCTTAACATTCCGGTTGGTGTTCTCTTAACTGATAAGTCTTTTGTCAACTGATCTAATATCTGTTGTTAATTTCAACCACAATATTACAGCAAAATATGCTAGCAGGTCTCTAGATTGTAAGGTCCTTAAACTGATGACCTGTTCTGACATTTTTTTGAAGAACCATGTATATGGATAATGGTATATAATGATGATAATATTAGTGATCATTAAGTGTTCATGCTGTATTCAGCAATTAAGTTATAGTTAGTTTTTAGAGTTACCACATTGGTCCCAAAGCGTAGGCTTAGCTGCATGGATGATTTACTTCTTATTCATGAATGTGCTTTTCTCTTTTAGGTACCAGGATGATTTTAATCCTTTAGTAAATGGATGCTCATGCTATTGCTGTCAAAACCACAGTCGTGCCTATATTCATCACCTCCTCATAACCAAAGAGCTGCTGGCTTATGTGCTTCTTACGATGCATAACTTTCAGCATTACTTTAGCTTCTTTTCTTCTATCCGAAATGCTTTGAAAGAAGATAAGTTGGATCAATTGAGCATGATTATCAGCAGGCAAGCCCTCTGAGGTCAGATATGTAAAAAACAAAAACCTGCTTCACCAACCTGGCTTACCCTTCTGGATCAAGATTATGGAGAAGAGCTGGTATACAATGGGGGATACCATGACAGAAGAAAATCCATATTTTGCCTAACATCTCATATCTGAGTATACCTTTCTTAGTCCCTATAATTTTGGGAAAGGTTGAGATTTTTCCCCCAGATGTATTAATCTTTGAAAAAGATAAAAATAAGGATATTCTCTAGAAGAATTCACATATTTTTCTGAATTGTATTAATGATATTAATAATTTATGGACATTTGAACTGCAGTGAGAAGAAAAGAACATCAACTAATCAGGAGAATGGGAAAACAACTCCACATCAGTTTGAGATACAAGTGTACTATTATTGTATATTAATTTATTTTGGGTTTTTTTTGTTTTTTAAAAAAAAATATCAGGAAGAGGTGACATACAGTAGCTAAAAATCATGGGAAAAAATAGTTCCTGTTATGAATTATGTCTTACTTGGACACTTCTGATGGTGGGAACATTTTAAAATAATGCATTCCTTAAAGTCCTCTGTTTTCTTGTTGAATAGAGAGCTTTTTACATATGTTGTAAGTTGCCTATTAGAGAACCTGATTTTAATAATAACAAAAAGTGGCTGTTTATCTCAAGGGTATGGATTGCACTCTTTCAACAATATCCTTTTACGGTAGTGTTTTGAGAGGGGGATGAGTAAGGTTTTGATAGTAAAAGAAAATCTAGCAAATAATATATTTCAGGTTTCTTTCTATTATTTCTTCAATTTTCTTTTTTACTGGATTTTTTTACTACTATATTTGAACGTTAAAAGTTTTTATATTATTACATTTATTATACTGCATGGGGAACTTTAATAAAACCCTTAAATTTTTGTATTCTATCTGGGAAATGCAGTGAGGAATGTGGAAAAAAAAGAGACGGAGGGAACTCATAAAATAGAGAAACACTGTGAGAGAGGGAAGACCAGGCCAGATGATCCTGCAAAAGGCCAATATGAAGACTGGAGTGATAAATTGTCCCCATCTCTCTTGTAAGAGCCAAGTCTAATTAAGAAAGAGCTGGATTTAAGCATTACTGAAAACAATACAGTAATTATCAGTGGTCAATATGAATTTGTCAAAAATAAATCTTAATTAACTTACCTTATCTCATGTTTTGATCGATCATGTTACATGATTCACATATGTAATACCATTACAGTGTGAGCTGTATTGATTGCCTGGTTGTTTTCAGATGCAATTCAAGGTGCTGATTGTCACCTTTTAAGCTCTTCGGGCTTGGGACCGGATTACGTAAAACCACCTTGCAGTGATTTCTACCTGTACAAATTTGTCTGATAGGTTGAGCATGCTAAGGGTCTTGTCAGCCAAGGAATGTTGGCTGGCGGGGCCTAGGAGACATATCTTTTCTGCCATAGTCCCTATCCTCTGGAACATTCTCTCCTCAGTTGAGGATGGTCACTGCAGATAAGTCACTTTTCTTGGTACCACCAAATGTATTTCCTTAATAGATGAAACTCACAAAATGCCCTTCCTTCCCACTCTGGTGGGACAGATAGATGTAACTGGGGAGAGGCAATCCTTTAAATAACCTGGTTTCAACTATGTCAGGGTTTAAAGGTGATAGGTAGCATCTTCAATTACACCCAGAAGCAAATCGGCAATCAATGCAACTCCTGTAAAAGGTGACAGGTGCACAGATTTGGCTTGCACAAAATTGTGTGGACCGCTGTGTTTTGAACCCACTGAAATTACCAGATACTCTTCAGAGTAGTCCCATGTAAAGCACATTACAATAGTCCAAAGGGGAGGCGAACAGGGCACAAGTGACTTTGAGAAGGGCCTGGTGATGAATGGACATAACTGGCACACAACACACAGTTGTGCAAAAGCTGTCCTGGCCATTGCCACCAGGAGTTATGAGTCCAGGAGAACTCCCAGGTTATGCACCAGGTATCTGGGGTACTGCAATCCAATCCACAAGATGGCAAGTCCCCAAGAACCAAGGAGCCCTGCATCTAATACTACATCTTGGCATGGCTCAGCTTAATTTATTGCTCCTCACTCAGACCTCAACACTCTCCAGGCACCAAGAGAGGACAGTTATAGCAATGCTCACCATGGGCAGAGATGTACAGGTGAGTATTATCAGCATACTGATAATATCTCAACCCATGATGACCCAGCAGTCATGTAGATATTAAACAGGAGCAGAGAGACCACTGATCCCTGCAGGATCATCTAAAGCAGATGCTGAGGGTCATAGCTCTTGCTCCTGATCAACACTGACTAGAAACGGCCTCAGAGGAGGAAGGTAACCTAAGAGAATACTGCACTATCCCTATCCCACTCCTGACAGAGATCACAAGAAACATGATCTATGGCATTTCCATCCCATATCCAGGCCTGAATGCCAACAGAATGGGCCCCCAAAAAATTCATTTCCTCCAGGATCTTCTGGGGCTGCAGCACACTCCCTTCTTGACAACCTTCCCCAGAAAGCGAAGGTTGAAGACAGGATGAAAGCTTCCCCTTAAGGTGAGATTTAGCTGCAAGGTGGGACCAAGTTTCATCATCTGCTTCAAGGTAAGATTCACAAAGAGCAAATCAGAGGAAGAAAGTGCCTGATGGAACTCAATTGCTAAAACAATCGTATGTAGTGTATGTAATCATTGTTATTAATGATTAAGCCTAGAATGATGAGTTGGTTTTTCTGTGGTTGCATTACTGAAACTTCCAGAACAACTTACTCCAGAAAGCCTGTTTGAATTCAATTTCTTGACCTAGTAAATATATTACAAGTAATTACAATGACTTCTTTGTATGAAAAGAATTAACTAATTTGATTGGTGGATTGGAACAAGTGGATTTATTAAACAAATAGTTTATTGTGCTTCACGAAAAATAGTCTTTAGAGTAACTTGCCTGTTTGACCAACGGTCCTATATGTGTCCTTATGAAAGTGCCCTCACATTATAAGGTGGTTATCAGGATCTTCAGACTGATGTCTATAGGCAGTCAGTGATGGTACTGATGAAATTTATGGAATATGCATACAGAAGAAAAAGTGAAGAAAGTGAAGAGTACAGAAGGTCTTCCCATTTTAAGTGGCAAATCATCTGAATATCACCCCTAAATATTTATGCTAGGAGATATCTTAAAAGTGTAATTCTATTAAAGTGCTCAGCAAGCAACCATAATAATATTGCACATTGGAACCATTGAAACAATGTCAGAATATGTGTTTGCCAGGGATGCAAATTCCAGGGCACCGGCTGTGCTCATCAAATTGTGTTCCTTGAACTCTGTAACTAATGAAAATATATTACAGTACCAAATATTGCGGTAGTACAATTTTGAGGATTTTACCACAAATCACGAAATTCGTGAATCTCACTATTACAAAAATATTTTCCACATTAGATGATAGAGAAAAACCATAGAAAAATTAGTCCAAAATTCACCAATAATTGAGAAAATTCATCCTGATGTACATAAACCAATCTCAGCTATACCTTCCTTCACTGTTTCTGCAAGGAATATAAAGCTGAGGCACTCTCCAAGTTTTCAGCACTACAGAATCTTGAGGAAAGCTTTACGGAACTCATTGTTGAAGGTGATATAGATGATAGGGTTGAGGGCACTGTTGATGTAAGCCAAGTAGTAGCACTGTAGAGTTCTGGGGAAATGTGGCAGACTTGACAGTGAGTATTCAATATAGGTGTCACGAAGAAAGGCAGCCAGCAGACTATAAAAGTCTCTAAGATGTAAAAGAAAATGAGAAAGCAACACACTGTTGCTCAGTAGTATTTAATTGTGGACCTAAATCTTCATTCACACAAATCTAAAGGCAAGCTGCCACTCTGAAGATAATAAGTGAATAAGGTCAAACTAGTTCTATCTGTTTTTAAGGTAACTGCACATTACTCTAGAAAATACCTGGAGATCCTTGATTGTCTGTTCACATGTCTTATTAAAAGCAAAGAACAAAGCAATATAAGACTAAATATAATTTTAGCTAACATACAGTAGATTTATTTTAAAAAGTTAATGGAAAAAGCTATTTAAATGTAAGTCTTTTTTGTTAATTTATTCCCCTTTGAAGGAAGGTACTTCAAATTTCTTGGTAATCTGAATTGAGATAACACATGTGGTTATTTTTTCTCTGTGGCTGGAAACAAAATGGGGAAAAAACAAACCAAAAACAGTATTAAGTACCTGGTTCTTTGGCTTCATAACCTGCTATATCTACTTTTCCTTAAAATAAGTCTTAGTGATCTTTTCTGAAAGTGGCATCAATGTACAATTTTCACACCATCTTATGAGTGCCAAAATATAACTTTTAAAAATATAATAAAAATGCATATTTTAAAAAATTCTTATTTTTAAGCAATGTACACATTTAATTTTTAAAATGTTTAAACATGAAAAATAATAGTGAAATTATTTTGACTATTAATACTTTAGTCACTTAGTCAAATAGTCAAATCTTAAGAGATTTCATATGGAAACATAGAGATTACACAAACTTTGACTATCTCATGAGATTTGGGTGATTTTAAATTCAGGTACCATCTACTAATGTCACATGGAGGATTATAAGGAGGTCCTCAAGTTTGTTATTTACTGAATGTAGACATTGCTCAACTCCAAGACAACTCATATAAGCCACAGTTCTACATGATAGCTCTGAAGTACTTCAGTTCTGTAAAGGCTGAAACTGGCAAAATGACAACCAAAAAAGACTATTTTTTTAAAAAAAAATATCTCCACCATTCAGGTGAACTCTATTAATGAGAAAGTCAGGAAGGAGACATTGAGAGCTTAAACTGAAATATTAAGGTTCTGAATTTTTTTCTGCTGTAGACAATCCAGTACCAGGCTTAAAGTCTTCATTCTTGTCTACAATAAAGATTCTACTCTTGCAGAATTGTATCTAAAAGGTTTCTGCCATGTGAAACCAAGACCATGCTGGATACCATTGATTTTTACAACTTCTGACAAGGTTTTGCCAGTTCCAGCTTTGTCTTCTTGTCATGCAACATGTGAACTTTTCCCACTAGAATTCCATTGCATTATCATTACATATGGGAACCATCTCTTCTTTTAGAACTACCTTTTGGTTGTAAGAACTATCCCTTGTTATGGGAATATTAGAAGTCATGATTCTGTTATTTTATCTCACACACTCCATTGACTGACATCTACCAAAATAGTCTCTCCTTGCTTTAACTGGGTCTTATACACACCACCATTCATACACGTCTTTACATACTTCACCCAAAGCACAAAACTATGAATAATGTGTCATTTCATACCACAGTAGTAGTAATATGCTACATATTGATATGGGGGTGGGGCGCGATGGTTCAGCGTTTAAAGAAGCTGAGCTTGTCACCTGGAAAGCTGATAGCCCTGGTTCAAGATTGCACAACAGGGTGAACTCCCATTACTTGCCGTAGCTCCTGCTAACATAGCAGTTAGCAAATGCGAATATATAAATAGGTGCCATTTTGGTGAGAAGATAACAGCATTCAGTGTGCCTTGGTGTATAGTCATGTTCGTCACATGACCACAGAAGTGTCTTTGGACAATGCTGGCTCTCTCAGCTAAGAAATGGAGATGAGTGTCATCCTCTAGATTTGGACATGACTGGACAGAGGAAACCTTTACCTTTATATACTGATGTTGAATAATTACATTTCTAAAAGAGTGGAAACCTTCTACTTACCAAGAACAATAGCTAGCATCTGAGTGGCTTTCCTTTCTCTAAATTGTATTCAGCAGTGTCATTGATAAGGTAGCTCCAAAGATGTTTTTGTTTTGTTTTGCCATTGTTGAGCCTGTGCACCTGTAGATTGCTATATACAAAAATGCAAGAAAATTAAAAGCTATTTATAAAGAATACTTTTGAAAAATGGAGTCTGAAATTAGCACCGGTAGCTACAATATCAACAATGTCCATAACGATGTCTGCTTATACAAATAGATTAAGTCCAAAAATGTTATTGAAGAAATGACAGATGTAGAACATATTTTATCTGACAAGATAGAGATGGTATCAACAGTATATTTACAACTGAGAGGCCACTAGAATGGCTCTGAAAAGGATGAATTTACAAAAGAAATTGCCCAAAGTTTTAAAATCAAAGGGAAATATTACAAAAGTGTCTTTCTTGTTGCCTAACAAATGCCACCAATAGAAAAAGAACTTCACTATAGACCTTGCCTTGTTGCTCTTGCTAAGAGCAAAAGTGGTGCACAGTACATATTTTTCCCCAGTGAGAGAAAAAATATTTTGTTAAACAGAAAGTGACAGAGATCTAGTCACACATAGCCTTGGACTTTGTAGCTCTTTTTGGTGACCTCTTGCAGCAATTTAAGACAATACTGAATAATTGCATAGCTTTCTGCTTAATATATATTTTTAAAAGAAATCATATAAAATAAACTTTAACCTTTGATAATACATTTCCCATGACCAAAGATTTTGGCTTTTTTTTAAATTAAAAAAAAACAGATAATCTTTTTCTGTAAGATATCACTCGATCACCATCACAGCCACTATAGCCCTTGGATCTGAAATGTTTTTTTTCAAAAGCATCTACCAGTTCAAATATACCATCTGCCTCAGCTCTTACCTTGATAACTATTCTTGGCAATCAGTTAGTATAAGGCCAATATTAAGCTGATGCACAGAGTGTTGTTGATGATACAGATCTTTAATGCATCAGCGCAGGGCTAATAACTCTGATATTTAAAAAGCTAGTATTCTGAACAATTTGTGTCTCTAGTGTAATTACCAGTTGTAAAGTTCGTAATATAACTTAACAGCTGCAGTCAAAAATATCCACTATCTCTTCTTCATTATATTGCCTGAGGCAGACTGACTGAGATTATTGCCAATGACATTCTGTGTTTCCAACTGAGATTTCTAGTACTGCAATAATGTCATTTAGGATTATAAATCTAAAACAGTAAATAGAATGTTTCCCTCACAAAATGAGAAATCAGACTAGAATGTTAAAAGCAGCATCATTTATTTGACAGTGTTTCACACTGCTGAAGAAATCATTTCTATCAGATGGAGCTCTTAAACTGGGGCCTGGGGTCCTATGGATGTTGTATGCAAATCTGAGGACAGGTCTCAAATATGTAGATGACAGAAGGGTTAAAAGGCTAGAAGCATAAGCAGAAAGCCTGGGAGCAGCTGGAAGGAAGGAGCCTGATTCACACTGCTAAGTCACCCTGAGTTGTGTGCAAATTAGGTGGTCATTATCAGTTTTTATAATAGGCAAGCAGAGAGCAGTGACCAGACCCCAATCCAGACATGGGTGACTCCTTTGAACATAATACCAAGCTCACCACTTTGGAGATTCACTGGTTAAAAACACACAAAAACTCTCAGACCTTTCTACTGTTATTGTCAAGGCAGTGCTACCACCCACCTGGGCAAAACACACCATTTCTCAGAAGTACCTTCATGTCGCTGGAGGCCAACTGGTCTTCCTAAGGGCAAGATTTCAGCAGCAGCTTTCTTCTTAATGTTCTTGTTTCCAGTGGCGGAGGGAGCACTCAGTTGCCATCATTCCCAGCCAGATGACTGGAACTGATAGGTGTTATTATCTGGAGTTTTTAGAGTGTAGGGTAAAAATTGGATATAAACACACTTGGACATGGGGTAGTTCTTCCAAGAACTATTGATATCTATACAAATATTATCAATAGTAATAATACTAGCAGCGCATCACAACTGTCAAGGAGTGGGGGGTAGGAAGTGAGGGAGATTATTTGTAAATAATAGGTGCATCCTTGTTCATTCTTTCTCTCCTGATACTTCTTTCCGTAACACATTTCACAGAGGATCACTGTATAGCGTTTCTTAAAAAAATATGGAAAGCTGTTTGACTAAAGTGTCTACCTTCTGGCCCGCCCCCATATCAGATAGAAAAGGTAGGGATATAGATAGGATATAGGATATAGAGGATTCTTCTGGCTTTTCCCAAGGACCTGAGAACATGGTTTTGTCAACAAACACTTTGAAACAACAAACATTGGTTAGTGTTCTAATATGTCTTCAATTCAATCTGTTCTACTTCTTTCTCAAATTTCGTCTAATTTATATAGAAAGTCATTTCCATTTTCAATGTTGTCACTTCCTTTTCTGGATTTTCCATCAGCTGTATTTGTTGGTCAATTGAGTCCTTTGTCTTAATATTTGGTTGTCCCACTTCTCCTGTTATCTTCTGCATTGTTGGTTCTTTGTTTGTAGTCAAAATTTGGCTTTGTGCATCTAAGCTGGCATCTTGATCTTTTATTTTAGGTCCATTAAGAGAGAGAGAGAGAGAGAGAGCATACTGAGATGCCAATACATATATGTGAATGCAATATATTTTCCCCTTATTTTATTTTATTTTTAACTAGTATCATGGTCTCTCAGATGCAAGGGAGCAGGCATAAATCTGATAAGATTTACATGGTAAAAATATAATACGGTGTACAGTTCTTGGATGAGTTCTCTGTTTTAAACTTCACAGTAATATATTCACATTTATTAGATTTCCCTCTTTTGGCTAATCGAACAATGTTTCATTTCATCCAGATTTCTTGTTGGTTATTTGGAATCTTACCTATCAATACTGATAGCACAGAGATTTAAAATACTGGCTGTACACATCATTACATACATGGTTACAAATATATCACAACAGACACGGCTGAAATTCCACACACCTCCAGTTACCTGATTATCAATTACAAGATATTTGTATTATCTTGCACTGAACTACAGCACACCACAATGAAGATGCATTTTCCAATAACAACTGTTTAGCTTTCTTTAAAAATGAACTTAATAAATGAAATGTCATGGTTCTCCTCAGAAGTAAAGTTTTATTATCCTTTTGGGGACACAGCTGAATATCTGACAATACCTTTGATAAGCAAAAATGCACTCAGAAGAGTAATGCCTTAAGACCCACATCAATTTATAAATTGAATTATATTAATAATGAGAGCGCATATCTGTAAGAAAGAGTATGATTTTTAATTTATCTCCTTTCATAGGGTCAGTATTCTGCCTCAGTATTCTGCCTCTGGAGACATTTTAAAAGAGTAAGGAGACTTTTTCATCATTTACTAAGGCTGTGTTTACCGAAACAGAAAACCAAGATTTTAACCATGTTTTGTAGAACAAGCTCTAATGGTTTAATTAATGGTTAATGCTAATGCATAATGAGTGAGTTCCCACACTGAACTATGTCAGAACCTAACTATTTTAGGTCTCAGTTTGGTATGTGAACTAAATCTACTTATTTAAGTTTCTAGGCCCCCCGCACTTCAAATGCTTCTCGGTAGCTTCACAAAATTAAAAGAAGAGTCCATATGAACATCAAACTTCCATAGAGTAGCAACTGTTCAAGGGAATGAAACCATGCCTCCATATCCCTTCCTACCTTAAAGAGCCCATCAAACCATCTTAAACTTAGGCCTGAGGGAAAAGCTAGGTTTTTAATAAATTTTGATGGAGAGGGCAGTGGGTGGACCATGTAGATATCCATGGAGGTGCTATTCTAAAGGCACAGTAAAAGAGAAGGCCCCATTTTTTGGGATTTACTACATTCAGAATAGTTTTGTAAGGTTAGATAAATAGAGCGAAATTTAACGAAGTTTCAGCTTTCTTTACAGAAGTTAAAAGCAGATATAAAGATTGGAGATTCCTGGTTTGGCAGTAGTACCTGGGAAAAATGGTCTTGGAATAATATGTACCTCTCAGTGCAAAGGAGAAAGAACACCTACCTGGCAGGAACAAAGATATGCTCTTGATGCTGTCAGCCAGGTCAGTGTCTGATGCTAACAGTCCCTTAACTCAGGGGTTCCCAACCATTGATCCATGGAGCNATATAAAGATTGGAGATTCCTGGTTTGGCAGTAGTACCTGGGAAAAATGGTCTTGGAATAATATGTACCTCTCAGTGCAAAGGAGAAAGAACACCTACCTGGCAGGAACAAAGATATGCTCTTGATGCTGTCAGCCAGGTCAGTGTCTGATGCTAACAGTCCCTTAACTCAGGGGTTCCCAACCATTGATCCATGGAGCAACACCGGGCTGTGGCATACCAGAAACTGGGCAAGTGAAGGCATCCACGGTGTTGAAAGAAAAATCTTCATCAGGGTCCAGTCCAAGCTGGGAATAAACAAAATGGAGACTGCTTTAGAAATAAGGTTGTGGTTTATTGAAGAGCAAAGCCAGACAGAAAAGTGGCTCTGGGAAAGCTGGGAGTGGTGAGTTTTTATACCTTCTTGAGCTTTTGAGGTTGTTTCCTGTTTGAGGCTTCATCTTGTTATTGCCTCTAAAAACCTTAGCAAGGTATCACTAGTGACTTTCATACGTTATCTCATGTCAGTCATATATTTGTCCATTTTAATTGTGATTTATTTTTTAGAAAAATACAAATCAGAGCCCACAATAGATTAATTTATAGCACAGTTAAGCAAGATATAACTTTCATTTAAAGCCCTAAATACTTAATTCATTGCCATGTTAATTTAGTCAATTTTTGTCATCTTTCAAGTATGAGCTTTTCCATATTTATGGATAATGTTTTTATTCCAATACATAAATTACAATTTTTGACCTGTGTCATGTACATTTTTTTAAAAAAAATACTGTTACTTAAAACAGTTACACACTCAGCATCCATTTATACAGTCATGAATTCTACATTTGCTGTTCTAATTAATGAATCTGTTTAGATTTAGAGAGGAATGAAGATTTTGCAGATTGCTAACACAAAATATATCATTTTGTATTGGACAGCCAAATTCCAAATCCCTAACAACTACCGTTTGTAGCTCATCTGTTGCTGTTAGATTAATAAATCTTGCATTGTACATGGGTTACATGCTGTGCTGACATCAAAGCAAGATATATTGTATGTGATTCACCATTTAAATAACTGATTTATATGTTCTCTGGAGAAGCCCTCTCCATGTTTTTAAATGTCATTCACAGATGTCCCATTCATGGGTACTACTTCTTCAACTCTTGGCAAAATATACTATCTAATGAACTGGAGATATACAATCTGGAGAAAGTCTTGACAATAAGTTGAAGATATCTTCATCTACATTTTATAGACACAATCAAACATTAATGGTCAAACTGATATTCATAACTTGCATTCAGAATTTTGTTCTATAGCCTTATATTAATTACAAAGTTGGATATTGTTATTTTAAAAAATATCAGTTTCTGTTCAATAAGCAATGTTTTGGACTGTAGAACAACCAACATTAGCATTAACAAAACAACCTAGAACTTTTCAATATGAGGATTTCTGCAAGGATCACTCCCTAGAACAGTGGTGGGAAATGTTTACTTTCAAATGCAGCATCTTGTAAACTGTCTTTTGTTTCTATAGTTCACTGGCATATGATTATATCTTGTATTCTCTTTTGGCTCATCTATTTCTAAACCTGTAGCCAGAAAAAGAACAGTATTTTATGTACCATAGACATAAAATATTTAAAAGGAATAGGATTATAGAATTTTCTGACAAATTGAAATTCATTTATTGGATGTCCACCAGTACCTTACTACAAAATATGATAGCTCAGATAAGAGGTTCAGCCACAGATCTTTTAGTTAAATCGGTCTTTAGAAGGTAAAGTCACTTTTTATCCTTTATATTAAAACATTAGCAGATGTAGCTACGCAAACTCCTCTAAATACATCTACTGAGCATTTCTTTGCTGATTCTTTCCAAAGTCTCACTTTTTTTAAAAAAAGGTTCATTTACATCCTTTGAATAAGAGATTAGCTAAAGCATAATCTTCTCTTACCAATTATTGAATGATAAAAGCTTAACACCCCTCCTCTCTTCAGAGATAAGTAGAAAGGACCTGATAACAATGCAGTGCTTTGAATTCTTGAGATGAAAGATGTTCTGGGGTACAAAAGATTACAGCCTTTAAATCAGATCTTATTCTCTGTTAATATCCCCACTTATATTCACAAAAGTCCTTTTCTTTTTGTCAATCCACTTTATGGTTTTTCAGCAATTTTACAGAGATAATTTCTTTTTCAGAACAGTTTAGTATATTGGTACACATTTCATTGCATGAACATAATTGGATTTGCATTATATTATTTCAATTTTTTATTTTGAGCTAGTGTGACATGATATGAATAATTAACTACCAGCATTTGTATTAGGTTGCCTATCAGCAATATAAGCCTTTAAGTTATCTTTTAATTACTGTTTCGGGGGGAGGGGAAAGTGTGGCGTTCTTACTAAAATATAGACTTCCCAGTCTGATGATCTCCATACATATCAAATATATATCAAATTATATATTTAATTTTATTACAGGTTTTGATTATAATGGTAAAATCTAATCCAAACTAAACTTGAAGAAAATAGTAGAAAACAGTAAAATAAATCAAATGAAAAAGCAAATAAAAATGAAAAAGGAGAAAAGAAATATATAAAGAAATGACTTCCAAACTTCACCACAAATTGAAAAATTTAGCATTGTTTTACCCTCCCCCTTTGAGGTTACAAACATTTAGCTCTTCATCGCATATCCCATGACTTATCTATAAACAATTCCATAAAAGATAATATTTTCAGTCCTAGTGTCAGAAGAATGTGCACAAAAGTGTTTCCAGAAGTAATAACGTATCTTGTTTTAATCGTGATGAAATAAACCAACTTTATATCTATTTCTTTTACTTGTAACAGTCTTCATTTAAATATTGTCATAAGATTCAATTTCTCTTCATTTTTTTTGTCTCATCATATAGAGTTCTTCAAGGCTTTAACAAATCTCTTTTATAAGAGGAAACAATTATCCATGTCACTCTCTTGGTTTATCTTTTGAATTTCTCTTTTACATTTTAAAACCTCAGCCAGCTTCTTTTGTAAATCCAATGAAATATCCTTTTCTAAGTCATTCTCTTGGCCTATGAGTTATAAATCCACTTTCAAAACCATCTCTATCTTATCAGATAAAATTTGTTCTACATCTGTCATTTCTTCAGTAATAACTTTGGGACATAGAATATCCATAGAAGCAGACATCACTTCTGACACTATAGATATTGTGGCTACCAATAGCTCTGTTCTTCAAAAGTCTTCTTCAATATTTTCATTGTTATAATGTTCTGCACCATCTTATAGGCTTGTATATCTTTCCTGTACCTAAAATCTTTAATCCCTTTACTGTCCAGTTTCTGAAATACGAAATTGTTTATCTTTGTTATATCTTGTTTATCTTTGTTATATCTAGTATCTACAGTATTTCCCATGATAAGTTGTTTGTCTTTATAATTAATTTCAAAATCTTATAGTAAATGTTTCAATATTCCAAATTTACCTAGAAACTTAGTCCACTTACAACTTTCTAAGATCAAAATTTTATTTAGTTTTTTGCTGTTTATTTCAGATACTTTAAATTCTTAAGCTTATAATTAAATTTTTCTTTTCAGGATTGAACTGGATTTTCAGACTTGTCATTCTGAAAACTTCTAATAGCTTAGAAATAGTTAATGAACATTTTTCAAAAATGATCAGTGAGTGAGGTTTGTGAACTTAGTCTCATTTACTCACTTAAGTAAAATGATTAATCTCATCGTCTCCCAGTACTTAAATCTGCAGAAAGCCACCATTCTGAAAGGAGCAGTTTTCCAGAGCACATGTGGGTTATCTTCTATCCTCTCCTAATCCAGAGAGATTCTAAGAAACCATTCTACTCACCGGTTCCTTGTTCTTTGCTATGGTTATTGGCCCTGCTTTTGCTCAGTTTGCAATATCTTTTCCAGAAATCCTTAACTCTCAAAATACTTAAAGGCCATACTAGCTAAGGTTAAGGGCAACCAAATTTCAAAAATATGGCATCAATGCAACTTGAAAAGGTGCTAGAAGTGTTTTGCTCTATTGAGCCTAAATAAAAACCCACATTTTTCTGACAGTTCTTTGCATACAATACAAGCTGCCCAGAGTTGCCTTATTGGAGAGAGATGGGTAGCATGTAAATTTAATTAATAAATTCAGAAATCTTATTTGCCACAGTTTCATTATCAATTATCTTCCCCCAACTCTCCAGCTATGTTGGATGTTCAAATCACAGAACTCTTAATTAGTGGACCCAGCATATATGAAAAGCATAAAGTAGGGAATGACTGATAAAGAGATTAAAAATGCCATTTAACTGATTTATTGAATTTATGTGCTGCCAATTCATATGATCAAGTGTATGACTACAGTGTATCAGCTTAATACAGCTTGTCATTTTAAAATAATTGAATTACATGGGACTTAAGAATATTCAGTGGTGGCAGTTTCTCATATGGATATTCCCTAAAACTGTAGCAATCAAATTGGAACATAAGAAAGGTATATATTGAACACATTGGAACCTAAGAGCCTTCTAACTTATAGTTAAAGCCTTCAAATAGGGCATGGACTATAGAGATAATGTGAAACCAGGAGGGAACGCTTTTTGCTGACAAGTCTCATGCCTTCTATCAATATACTTCAGAAATTAAACATTAGTTGTTTCTTTATGTAAATGTGCTGTCAGGAACACATATGCTGAATCCTATACATGAAAAAAAAACTTATTTTAAAAATCCTATTATAGTCAACATTACTGCATTCACACATGATAAGAACTACTGTCAAGATAGGGAAACCAAATATTGGAAAAAAAAGTATTATAAGGGCAAATAACCTCTGAAAGGTGAAAGTTGCAAAGCAAATCTACTGAAGATTGAGCTTGCTAAGTTAGTACCAATTGCTGGTGTTTTCTGTGGCAAGCTGCAGTTATTTGAGAGAGATGTAGACATGATTAGGCTGAATGTTAGAAAACTTAGTTGGAACTCTAGACATCATTTGGGTATAACTCCTTCCAGAAATCTAATGGGTAAATAGTGCTAGCTAGAATTATAATGGTCTGAATCCCCATTATAAATTACATATTTGAGAAATTAGTACAGAATTCCAATGACTTCATTCCAAACCTTTGCTAATATGCCTTTAATATTCCTTGTGCTCTTAGAGTTCTTACTATTTAGTGAATTGGACTGTGAAGTTCTAACGGTTTGATGGGATAATTAGTACGTAACCACCCAGCATATTTATTGTTGTTTCTCTATCATGTATTTTCACATAACTCATCAATTTTATATATTAGGAAGTTATATCCCAATATTTCTCTGATAGATCAATTTAACCATATGACCTGCAAGTAATATTTTTGTTAGTAATTTCATAATTACTGAATTTGAAGAAAAAGAAACAATTTGGATTACAGTATTCACTATTTGGTTTAAATGGGTTGAAATAAATCAAGTGATGCCCATATACCAGCAGCCAAAGTTTTACTCACTTCAAGATATACCACCCATGGCATTACTAAAATGGCCACCAGCAGGTCTGCTATTGCTAGGCTTACCACAAGGTAGTAGGTAGTAGTTTGCAAGTTCCGTTCCCTCAGAACTGTTAGGGAAACTAGAACATTCCCAAAAACAATGACCAAAATCAGGATGGAGGAAAAGAGGACATAGTAGGCATGAGGCTGTGGTAATCCAAGTTATTCTGCCAATTTATGACTGATATGATAAAATTTGGAGAGCTGAGGGATCCATTATGATGAAGGAGATCTACAAAACAGCAGTTTTGTTTAAAAGTTTGTATGAAATAACACACACTAACATTTTAGCAGCAAAAAAATATTCTGTAATAATAGATTAAATTCCAGAATGTTCAGACATAGACTATATTGACTATAACAGCTGTTTGACTATAACAGCTTCCATCTTTTCAATGACCTTGTTTGCTGAACTTTTTGAAAGCAGAGGCTGAGAAAGAGTGAAAAATTAGTTTTATAAAAATTAATTTTATTTATTGTTCATGGATTTGTAAATAACATAGAATATATGACATGTTATATTTCATAAGATCATAATCTTGCTTCTAAATACTCGGGTGCTTTCAAACACTGAAGGTACAAAGTTGTATTTTCCAGATAATTTACTGCCTGCTTGATAGGCAATTCATGAAGAATTCTATCACTGCTTTACCTAGGCTGCTTTGGAACAGCCAATTTTGAAACTTTTTTTTGCCACCATTTTTAAGCAAATCACTGCTGTTTTAAGTGAATCCAGTTTCCTTCATTGACTTTGCTATTTGGAAGCTGGCTGGAAAGGTTTACAAATGGTCATCACGTGACCCCGTGATTCTGCAGCAATCATATGCTTACAAATGCTGATTGCAAGCCATCCAAATTTTGATGATGTCATTGTGGTGAGGATGCTATGAAGGTGATGAGGTCTGGTTGTCACTTTTTTCAGTGCCTTTGTAAGTCTGAATAGTTGCTAAATGAATACTTGGAAGTTAAGGACTACCTGAATACAGAAGCTCTGCAAAAGGCAAAATTCTGTGCTAGGAACCATTCCTTCCTTCCTCAGATCCCTAGACATCTCAATAAAGTTATTAAAAGTTTCAAAGAAATCAGACATCTTTTATATAATATAAACCATAAGTTCAAGGCAGCATTCAGCAGGGGGTGCACAGCAGGACATTCAAAAGTTCTTGTTCCCAATCAATTAATGATCATTTTCTGAAAATATTCAATTTAGCTTTGATCATCTTCTAAATGAATTTAGTTGCTATTCTTAATGATTTAGCTGCAATAATGAAGAGATTTGTAAGATTATGTCCTCCAATTTAGCATCTGCTTTCTCTGAAAGTAGGAAAAGTTGATCTTGTTAAGACATGAAGAAGGCATTAAAGAGTCTGAAGTCTCTCTCTCTCTCTCTCTCTCTCTCTCTCTCTCTCTCTCTCCCTCTCTCTCTCTCTCTCTGGATAAGAAAAGTATTTGATCAAAAAGACTATTTGCTTTCTGTTTCCTCATCATTTCCATGATTCGGAAAGAGTAACCCTGGCCAAGAGTTGTATAAGTTATATAATAAGTATATTCCTCATTATTCTCTTCTATATTTTACTCTTGTTTTTTGAATTTGCAGGCTGATGGGATTGGCAGAGCAATGACCTACTCTACCTAGCACAAAATTCCATTGAATTTTTGGATCAGATTTCATAGAATTGATAGGATACGTGCACATGCAGTTCTTTAGAATGAAAGTTTGAGGTTTGAAAACCAAGCTGACCATGGGGACATCGCTAAAGAGATTAAATAACATTTCTCAAAATTGGTGGATTTTTGCCAGATGAAACCAATATAGGCAACAGGAATTATTCTATTAAAAAGTCCTTTGTGACAACATCATTGTAGCTTTTTATAAGTGAAAATTATGAGTTGTTGGGGTTTTTTGGCCAAGAGCTCCATGGAGTCAGGGATTATTTCTAACTATAACTTCATTTAATATTATTAATGGACCCAGACTGCATTGTGCTCCAAAAGCAAAGATAAAAACTTCCAGAACTGCACAAATATCTTTAAACATCTAGACATTGGTACATTTTGCATATATTATGATGCAGAAGACATAAAGTTTCTGATTATGGTATTCTTCTGAAAGCTATTTTACATGTATTGCAATCTCTAGAAATTGCTACAATCTATTATCCTTTCAGTTTGCTGAAATCACAATTTGGTAATTAAATAAATGTTAAGGTCTATTGGCATCTGTGTATGATTATACAGATCTAAAATGGCTTATCAAAACTGCAGTCTGCAAAAAACTGGAAACAATACAACCATATCAACAACATTATTTTCTTCATTATTCTATATAAACTCCAAATCAGTTTCCTAATTACAGTTTTTGTTTGCAATTTTCAACTTTTTAACTCTTAGTTTTTCCTGATAGCAGAATATCAGTCTGCCTGAAAAACCTCAAAGAAACTGTCTTTAGTGCAAGAATAACTACTGGATGACATTGTTTGTGGCCATGTTTTCAGATATATATACTTTTGCTGGTTTCAGATAAAATGAAAAACCTATGTGATTTTTAGAACCTCTTTCTTGAATAATTGTGACAATAGGGAGGGATTGATTCCCCCCCTTAGCTGAAAGTTGCAATTAAAAGCTCACTAATTTCCCCAGACTTTCTCCATTTTTTCTTAATTTCTTCATCTTTCACCCTCATTTTATCTTTTGCTTCATTCCCAGCCTGTTTATTTCCTCTCCAGATTCTTATACTCACCTTTTTTTCACCATCAGTCCTTCCTTTTCATAGTTCTTTCTTGAAATGAGGAAGTGGAAGTTTCTACTTAGAATATTCACTTTCCAATACATGATTCTTTCAAACAGACAATCTATTTTTTGGTTGCATTGAAAAATATAGTTTCAGGATAAAACTATCTCAGCATTATTGGTGTCCCTTTGCCACTATTTAAGTAAAACACATGCATCTTTCTATTTTTTTAATAAAAATATTAGTAAATTAGTAAATCAGATATTTCCTTTTAGAAAGATGAAAACATTTTTTTAAAAAACCCAAGGTTTTCTCAATTAAGAAAGGCAGAATATTGAGAAAAAATGAATCTATTCTTATTACTATATTCTTTATGTTTGCATCCACTGAATATTTTTTTAAATTCTGCTTTCTAGACAGATTCTTATTGGCTTTATATCTTTTGATCATCTCTCCATCCCAAGCTTCTTAATATTTGAAAATGTCTATAGGCAGCATGCTAAAACTTAATAACTTAGCACTAAAATGCAAAACAGGAAAACCATGACTTACCCTTCTTGGTCTGATTATGCTGTGAAAGAATTCAGAGAATATGGTAGATTCACATGGCTCTGGAACCATAAGTCACAGGGGTGCGAAACTTTACCCTTCCTCCAGAAACACAGCAAGTGTGTAAGAAAACAGGAATTCCCCATGTTGCCTCCAAGCTATTTTACAATTTTATAGATAGTATTTACAGTAGGGTTTTATCCAGCAGCTTTGTGAGGATCTCTGTAAGCCACCATAAACCAAGCTGCTCATATCTCTGTCCTTGGTGCTGATAGCATACTGAAAGTTGCCCCGTCTCCAAACAAGTCCCATGTGGTTCTGGTCTTACATATTACTTGCATTCTCAACCACTTTCCCCTCCTCATATATTTTTAAAGCTGAATGTCTAGTATCTTTGTTAACACATGCATAAAGCCGTTGTCTTTAAAATTCATTAGCTGGGATATTTAGTGAATACAAATTCACTGATGTTTTCTTAAGGAAAAACTTCAATAATAAAAAAAAGGCTAGACCTGTGAACAAAATATTTGCTTTGCTTTTCACAGACACAATTTAAAGTGGTGTTGAGATTTGGGCAGGTTTCAGGTGTTTAATTCTGATACGTTCTGAATCAGTTCTTCAAATTTTCTGTTATAATTCAAATGATTTTTTTTCCTGGTATTTTAAAAGAGATCAGTGATTTTTCAAAGAAGTTTGATAAGCAGTTCTGTCAATTGATAAGCAATTGATAAGCACTATGAACAATTCTGTCCTTTTAGAATCAGAATTAATTTTAATACAATTAAAATTAAATAATTAAAACACAACATTTAAAATGTGAATAATGTTTTTTAAAAAATCTCAAAATTGGAATTTATAAGTAGTTGTATAGTTTGACACTGTTGTGTAACATTTTCTATACATAATACATATATTTTTTTCTGGTATAAAATACAATGTAGCCAATATACAGAAAATTATTTCAATGGGAATACAAACCTTAAGGCAAAAGAATGCTGTCTATTTAACAAATATTTGTTTATGGCATTAAGACAGAGACAAGAAATACTTATTGCATAGTTAAGAATTGAATAATGTGCAATTTCAATTTTATTGATTAACTGATTAAATTAATTAAAAGATAAGCATTAAATATTATTTAACTTCTATAACATTTAGATTACATGCCAGTGAAGTGATGAAACAAGGAACAGAACAAAATTTAAATATCTTATCCATAGATATGAAATATGGTAGAATAATTGTATACATTCTGCAGAGTAGATGTTAAACTAGTTGAAATCTGAAAGTTGTTTCTGTGTATTTATATGTTTTATATTTCTCACTTAATTGCCTTTGTGTGATGATCTACCACACCCACAAGAAAGGCATAGTGTAATCCTTCTAGTTATTCTAATTATAGAATTGGAAGGTATCTTAGAGGTCATCTAGTCTAACTCAAGGCAGGATTCATCTACAGGTTTTATGACAGAATAACATTAAACCACTGTTTGAAGTCTTCCAAAAAAGAAAAAAATCACCACTTCATGAGATGTCATTTTGTCCCTCAATCATCTCTTCCATAAGTAGGCTCATATGATTGGGGTTCCAAATTTATTCTCTTAGTAGGCCTCTTTTGAACTCACCCCAATTTACCAGTGTCCTTTTTGAACTGTGGTGCCCAGAACTGGATTTAGTTGTCCAGATGGGATTTGACCAGAGCAGAGAGAAATGATTATTTCCTTTGATATGGATTCTATACTTTTGATAATGCACCTAAAGTTAGTACTTCCCTTTGAAGAGCTGCATCATACTGCTGGTTTATGTTTAATTTGATTTAACAAGGGTACCGAGATATCCTTTTCATATGTACTGGTGCCACATCTAGATCCTTCCC